GGGGGGGGGGGGGGGGGCCCGGCCTGGAGGGAGTGCGGGGGAGGTGACTATTAAAGGGTGCAGGATTTCTTTTTGGGGTGATGACCATGTTCAAAGACTGACAGAGACAACCCTGTTAATATACTAAATACCACTGAATCGTATACTTTATTATTATTATTATTATTGTCTTTTTTGTGACCGGCCGCACCGCGCTCAGCCAGTGAGCGCACCGGTCATCCCTATATAGGATCCGAACCCGCGGCGGGAGCTTCAGCACCACACTCTCCCGAGTGCGCCATGAGGTTGGCCCTGAATCGTATACTTTAAATTAGTAAATTGTATGGTACATGAGTTATGTATCTCCATAAAACTGCCAAAAAAAAAAAAAAAAGTCGGTTACAAGGAAACCCAGGGTCCCATCTCCTTGGGCACCGTGGGGTGAAGGCAGGCCCTGGGCGGCTCCTCAGCCCTGCCTCTTCTGAGCTGACTGGCTCCAGGTGAGTCACCGAGGCTCTGAGAGCATGGTGGCCATAACCATGGATAGGGTTGATGGAGGAATTCATGACATTGTTTGCATGAAAATGCCTCTGCCACAAACCTCCTGAACTTCCTCGGGTTGAGAAAGGAAGTTCCTCCACCCCTCCCAACCCTCATTTTCTAGACTCACCCTGTGTCTTTAATGAACCCCCCCCAAACACAACGGTCCCCCCAACTGTAGTCTAGGCCAGCAGGAAGAGCTGAGTTCCTCATGATGTGGAGAAGGCTCATTCACAGCGCAGTGAATGCTTTAACAGAGGCCCCCATGGCTCTGCACTCCCTTTTCAGAGCAGGTGCTGAGGGAAATGAAATGAAATCAGAACATTTATTGTACGGCAAGGAGAGGAGACCCCCTGCCTCTGCCTGCCCTGGGAGCAGCCTGGGCCTGGGAGGGTGGGGCTGGTTGGCCTGGCTGGGGGTGACTCCACAGTGGTGTCCTCTTCAGGGTTCAGTTGCCTGAGGCAGGGCAGGGACTGGGGACTCTGCCCCAACTGAATTTCTAACTTGTCGGTGGCCCAGAGTGAGGCCTGTTATTTTCCTGGCTCTAGGACTCGCCTCTCTCCACTTCCAGTTCTGACTAAAACTTGCACACACTGTCTGCCTGGGGGTTACCGGGGAGCGTTATTAGTCAGGGCCTGGTAGGTGGGGAGGCCTGTGGGAAGACAGGCTGAGAGAGCACTGGGCTGTGACAAGAGTCCAGAAGCCTGAGGAGGCCCATGCAGGGCCCAGCTCACGTGCAGGGCCAGAGTTAAAGGAGCCTCCTGTGGGCAGGCGGGACCCTCGGTTCACAGCCTCACAGCAGGGGAGACAATGCCGTAACTGCTGATACTGCTCTTGCTTTACTTTTTATTTGCAGGTTATTTATTTTTATAACATATAGTCATTTAAAAAAAATAATGAAAGTCATCTATGTCCTTTGAAGATATATTTGAAAAATACAGAAAAGCCCAAATAAATTAAAAAAAAAAAATCACTAGCTTAATCACCTTTATTAACACTTTGTGTCTCATTTATACTTAAAGTTACATTTTCTACCCAGGAACATGTAAAACCAGGAGCTGGTGAGAGTTAAGACTTATTTAGTTATTCAATAAGCATTTACTGAGCTACCTTATGTCCTTTCCGCACACAGGTCAGGCTATGAAGGAATAAAAGAAATTCATTAATTAAAAAAAATTTTAAACCCCCACCAAAACCATGCATTTACAACTTCTTGGGCACTGCTCTTGTGCCGAGTTCTGGGAGGCTGAGACAGAAACTGCAGGGTGCGGGGAATGTGTCTCTGCACCTGTGTGGTACTTGCCTGATGACCTGCTGGGGGCCTGCCCCACTCTTCTGCATTCCTCCAGAGATCTGTGGAGCCCCCCTATCTCCCCCACCCCCATGCATACACACGCCTATTTATGTCACTGAGTTGAAGGTAAAGGTTAGGCTAGTCAGAGGCTGTGGCCATCTGGGGTGTTCCCCTTGAGGCCCTTCACTCACTGGGACTTTTCTTAGTTCCCCTGTAGGGCAGTTTCAACCTTGTGCATGCTCACTCAGAGCAAATGTCTCCTATGGAAAGTGAGAGGACCTGCTTGTCTACTTGGTTATTCCTCAGTCAGATGACCTTGAATCTCCTGTACAGGCTGCCCTGGGTCTGAGAGCCCAGCAGATGGGGAGTGGGGTGAGGGCACCTGGCTCCCAAGGAGACCACCACTTCACATGGCCAGGCATTCTCGGTCAGTGTGCTGTTTGATTAGATTAACAGGGGCTGGGGGATGAGCGAGGGAGTGCAGGGAGAGATGAAAACTGATATGCCAGGCACAATGCTAGGTACTCTATGAATTCTCTCCCTCTCTTTTAATCTACCCCAACCCCGCCCTCAAGTAAAATATTTAGTGCACAGTTAAAAATAAAAACAGCATAGTGCTGAAGTGGGCTTGCATCAGCCAACTGGGCATGTCTCTTCCCAACTCCAAGTTCAGTGTTGTCAATGGTGGTAGCTTGAAAGCAGCCATGGTGAGAGTATTTACACCATGGAAATGGGCAAACACTACAAATCAGGTCTTTTATTTTGGAGAGGTGGCTGTTAAACATTTACTGCTGCACCACTGAATAAAATAGTGAAAAGTGAAACTTCCTGTAATGTCACCACCTAGTGATAACCACTGTTGACATGTTACCATATATCCTTCTAGGCTTTGTGATATGATAACATTATCTTAGTTAATCTTCATAATTAACCTACTAGGTTGTCAACATCTCCACTTTCCAGGCAAGAGAACGTGGTAAAGTAATTTGCTTGAGATCCCATGGCCGTGATTTGTAAAGTAAGATGAGATTCGAGGACACTCTGACTGTATAGCCAATGCTCCTTCCTCAGCAAAATGCTGCTTCTTTAATAACAGAGCAAGGTCCCATTTCACAGATGAAGAAACCAGTTTGGAAGAGTTTCCTGGATGACTCATGGACTGTTCTAAGGTTCCAAGGGCGGTACTGGCACGAGCACAGGCGTGGGGTCAGAACGCAGGATTTGCAGTACAGCTTAGTTGTACAACCTCGGGAAGACGCACACCTTTCCCAATGTCGATTTCCTCATCTATGAAATAGGACTAACAGTTCCTGACTCATGGGATTTTGG